GTGTTGGATTTTTATGTTTTGAAATGGTTTCGGTAAAGCGTGCGGGGGAGGGGGGGGTTCCTGTGGTTGGTTTTTACTGCGCAAACATGGCAAAGGAGTCGTCTTCGGGGTCCCAAGCGCAGATTTTCATGAATCGTAGCGGTTTAGCATCATCAAAACGAAACCTACAATTTGTGTTTCATGATATTTTCTGTGCAAGATAAGCAAAGTCTTCGTAGATTCGCGTCGGTGCAATTTCCCTTAATTTCGACGAAAAACTGGACCTAGCACCCAAACGGTGCTTCTGAGACACAAACAGACAAAATTTTGGTCCTAAGGGCCGCAAAATGACGATCTACCCCCGAAAACATACCCCATGTAACATTTTTTGACAACTTGAACACAAAACAGGCCCTAGCGCCGAAACGGTGCGTCGTAGAGCCCCGCGGACGAAATTTTCATCTTAGGTGTCAACATGACGAGTTACCCCCTAGGAGACCATAAAAAAATGGCGAGTTTTTTGGACTTGTTTTTTTTTTCTCCCATGCAAACATAATCTAGTCGGCCCTTGAACGGCCCCCAGTGAGGTCCCACGATGGAGGTGGGAGTTTTTCTGGGGTCAAATGGGGTATTGCGGATCCAAAAAGATATAGTACGTTCTTGTAGCAGTTGTAGTTGATGCCAAACATTTATATCAATGAGTGAGTCAGCCAGTCAGTGGGTTGTATAGTATTGTTGATGATAAGTGTTCTCACACGTTCAGTTTCAGCACGCTGCTAAATCCGTAGTTTTGGGAATATTGGTCTCAAGTTTGGAGTGGAGCATGTACGTCCATTTCTTGTTGTACCACTTAAATGTCAGAAAACTCGTGATTTTAACCCTATCGACACCTATAGCTTTCGAAGAATGGAAAGATAGGTACTGTTATGTATTTCTAAGTTCATTGAGACTCGTTATGTCTACTCATATATCAGTATACTTAGATAAGTGTTCTCACACGTTCAGTTTCAGCACGCTGCTAAATCCGTAGTTTTGGGAATATTGGTCTCAAATTTGGTGTGGAGCATGTACGTCCATTTCTTGTTGTAGCACTTAAATGTCAGAAAACTCGTGATTTCAACCCTGCTATAACTTCCAAACCGCTAAAGCTAGGGCCAAATGGACAGCGGATTTGGCTTTCCCTTTCGATTTTCACGTTGGGGACATACGTCGGTTATCATTCTTCCTCTTATTAAAGATAAAAGAGGCAGTCGAAGGGACCTCAACAGGTCACCCTTACACATAAGATATGCTCTTACTGAAGATGACCTTACTCATTTAAATGATGAGATATGCATACTCATATTTCACCATCCACCTAAATAAGTGTACTCATCTCGTATTACTCATTTGTCCCAATTCTGAGCACAGATTGAAAAAGTGAGTGTGCAAATATGAGTTGAATCATAAAAGCATACCCACTCTCCGACCAGGGATAATTTATAAGTTGAAGTTTTTCAAGATGAGATGTAGATATTTATTTGTTTCTTCCAGAGAGACGAATCTATCCCAACTTTTGAGTCGTCAGAGAGTTCGCAGGGTCTCTCTGCTGATAGAACTATTAGTGATCATGGTGCCTTAAATCTTCATAGATCATCAGAGAGCCCCTTAAACTTGGTAATTGATCATCAGGTACTATCCCTAAGACTACTGTTTACAGACAGTGATTGAGTTTATATTATACTATGAACTATTTCACTTTAGACCCTTTATTTCACATTAGACCCTTTGCACCGTGTTAAGTTTAGTAATGCTTTAACCTTTTTTATTTACAGAAAAGCGAATCCTCTAAAACTCAGGGTAATATGGTGAATTTTTCAAGTGACATCTGAGATACCTCGCTCCAGCTCTCCATGTGGTTTTTCAGGTAATGTTAAGAATATGAGCAAGATTATTCAACATCAAAGAACCCCTGCCATGAGTACAAGCACTCAAAATTGCTCATCAACTCTGCCGAGTTATGGGGATTTCACATTTGGATCAGTTCAGGTACCACTCTTAACTTTTTATTTTTCCTAAAT